ATCACTTGGTAGCCTAAGGGGACATCGAGATCTAGTCGTTGGAGCCGGGACTCAAAGAAAATACGGGCTTTAAGAACGGCTCCAAAAATGGTGGCCCACGATCAGAAGTGGTGTCGAAGCCTCCGTTTTGATGTGTCACATCTACTTCGCTAGAAAGTTACCAGGGAGCTTCCTAATTCGCTGGCCATGAATTTGGTGCTTTCTAATTGGCCGGATGATGCAGTAGCTACGAGTTTCTCTCACCAGAAAACCTAATCAAAGGCATATAAATAAGCCTATAGAGATAGAAGCCAGAGGATGAGATGAGAGGTCAAGGAAGGGTTGTTACTCTGCCAATAGAGCAACTCACCTTACCTAGAGAAAACCACCCGAGAGGGAGAAATCAGTACGAGAAACGGCAACCCAAGTCCCCGTTTCTCTATTGTGGCCGCCTATTCCAAGAGGTCTTTTGGGAATTTGTTTTGATCAATGATCTCCCAGAAACTCTTTCGCACAGTTGGCTAGTTCCTTTAGTTGCTTAGGTATGTAAATCCTAAGGGTTCTAGCCATGTAAAATTTGATATTTGACTTAATACGATTTTTTTATTTCATGTGTGTCGATGTTTGATTTCCTCTATTTAATTATTTGTCGATTTGAATGAATGCATAGTCGACCTCTCACGCCTTCGAGGTGCAAGGATCAAAATCCCAGTCAAAAAGAAGCATCACAATAAAGTGGACTAGACCACTCCTGAAGTGATGAAAACAAACAATACAACCCAGCACACCGAATAGACAAAAAGACAGGGCCAACCAAGGGCAAGGCCCCATAACAACACATCCAGCAAGCAAAACAACAACACAAACCAGCAGCACACCCAGCAACAAGGAAACCAACTAGAGCATCTGCTGCTTGTCCTCAAACCAGTGCAGCCCTTGACTTTTGTCTAGTTTGCTGAACGCTATAGCCCACTCAAGAGAATCCCTGAAAGCCTTGTGTGTGACAACTCTTGCCTGCAGTCGTGAGCCATTGAAACCCCTCCTATTTATTTCGAGCCAGACCTGCCAACTCACAGCATGAAGGGCTCCAAAATGGACCCAACACTCCGCACTTTATAGTAGGCCACCTACGAATGACATTGAGAATATCCCCAGCTGGAGACTACATGGACCCGCAAACCCTCTTCATTCTAGTCCAAATTTACATAACGAAATCGCACTGGGCAAAGATGTGATCAATACTCTCCTCCTTACTGCATAACTCGCATCTTTTCGCAAGATGCGATCCCCTTTTCTTATGATGATCTAGTGTAAGAATGCGCTTGTGAGCCACGAGCCAAATAAAGAAGCAGTAGGAACAATTTGCCTCCATACTGACTTTGCAGGAAACTCCGGGGCTCCCTTGAACTTCTCATCAGCTAAAGTCTTGTACATAGAACTAACAGAAAAGGAATTTTCCTGATTGGGTAACCAAACAGGCCTAGAAGGCCCGCTAGTCACCCAGCTGGAACCAATCGTGTTAGGCAAATTCAACAAAGTAATTCTTTCCCTCTCAGTCCCCCCCCCTCTAAGATTAAAATTTAAAGGAACTTTCTACACAACATTCTCACCTGAGAGGGTCATGGCGTTTGAGACCGAGGCATTCTGAGAACTTGAAGCAACGGAAACTCTAGGGAAGGAATCGACAAGCACCACTTTTGGGATCTAGCTATCATGCCAGAAAGCGACCCAAGCGCCATTACCAGGATCGATATTTGCCATCTGCCAAAAAATATCATACCCCTTGGAAATATTTGCCCACACTGATCCCGAGAACCCCTGCCTGCTTCTCGTTGTACACCAATCCAAGAGGTGGTTCGGATATTTGTTCATAATCTGATGCCTCCACCAACTCTCCCTCTCAATAGCAAAACGCCACAACCACTTCCCTAACATTGCTCTGTTAAAAGTATCGAGATCCATAATCCCCAGACCACCTTGAGAGATTGGAGCTTTACAAACATCCCACCCCACAAGAGACATATTCCGACTATCCCCGTACCGTTCCACACGAATTCTTTGAATTCCTTCGAGCCTTTGATAACAGAGGAGGGAGCTCGAAAGAGAGAAATATAATAAACTGTATGACTGGAAAGCACAGCATTGTTGAGAGTCAATCTGCCTCCCATTTATAAAAACCTACCCTTCCAACCCTCAAGCCTCTTTTGGTATTTGTCCACAATTGAGTCCCATAACGAAGCTGCGTTGGGCTTAGCCCCAAGTGGTCACCCCAAGTACTTCGAGACATCACCACTCCCATTATAACCAAAAACCGAGGCAAAGAAATCCGGGTTAGGAACATCTCCGACCGTGAACATTACTGACTTATCCAGATTAATTCTTAACCTTGTAACAACTTGAAAACAAACCAAGGTGGCGAGGATGCTAATAACTTGCTCACAATCAGCATCACAAAATATCAGAGTATCATCAGCAAAGAGCAGGTGAGTAACCTCCCCACCACCACTCTCTTCATTCATGAAGAACCCAGAAATCTTACCACTGCCTCTAATCTTACTGACCATAAATGATAAGACATCCATAATCAAAGTGAATAGTCCAGGAGACAAAGGATCACCTTGTCTCAAACCCTTCGCTGTACCAAAGTAGCCTTTCGACTCTCCATTAATAAGAACCAATATTTTTGGGCTGCACATCTTGCCCTTGATCCACTTCTGCCATTGTTCTGAAAAACCCATACAAGACAGAATCAGAAACAAACAATTCCATTTCACATTATCAAAAGCCTTCTCTATATCCAGCTTGAAGTCTTGAAAATTAAACCTGGCTTCCTGCTTTTCTAACGGTTGTCCACCAGTTCAAAGGCAATTAACCCAGCATCCCCAATATGCCTACCTTTGACTGAAGCCTGTTGGTTCTGAGTAACAAGGTGCGGGAGAACAAATCCAAGTCTTTGAGAGAGAACCTTGCTAACAAGCTTATTAAAGTTGCCCATTAAACTGATAGGACGAAGATCCTTGATATCTTCCACAATATCTTTCTTGGGAACTAAACATATGAAAGAGTGAGAAGCGCAATTAGGTAAATAGCCCGAATTAAAGAAGTCTCTGAAAGCAAGAATGATTTCCGGCTTAATCCAGTTCCAACACTTTTTATAGAATTCCCAAGTGAAGTCGTCCGGACTTGGGGCTTTCCCACCATCGCAATTAGTAATACTTTCCCAGATCTCCAACTCCGAAAAAAGTCTGTTGAGAAACCGAAGATCCTCCTCCCTGATTTTATTACAGTCATACTGTCTAGGGAAGGGAACTGCTGAATTTCCTCACGAAACAAGCCTTTATAGAGTAATTCTCCATTAAACGAAGCCCAGTGGAGGGGGACTGAACATGAAGTCTTTATATGAGCACAAGAGGAGTACACTGGAGAAGTTTTAGCCCAAAAAGAGGAAGGAATCCACGACGGGTCCAACCACCATTGGGCCGCCGCAACCCTAAACACATCAAGTCAGGATAAAAATCCATGTAGAGGTTAATTGTGGGCTAAAAAAAACCCATTGGAGGAAGAAAAGGGACAGCGCTACTGACCGTCGGGGTCGTCGCTGGCCTAAGCCCAAAATAAGCTTCTGGAAACTTCTTTGTTCGTCCCCAAGTAACAACACTAGTGTACAACCAATAGGAAGTTATGATTGTGATTACTTTTTATAAGTTAGGTTCAATGTAGTCAAAAGCGAGTTTCTATGTAGAAGCGTGTTGAACCCATTTTTTAATAGTATTGAGTCAGAAGCGAGTTTTACCCACTTTTGTAATTGATGGGATGGGTCAGGTGTGAATTTTTTAAAATTTGGCCCGCTTTTCATTCGCCCTGCACCTTAAAACATACATTCAACACTATCCAAGCAGGTTGAATTCGATGTTGACGAATTTTGGCTCGGGAGCGAGTTTCACTCTGTTTGTAATGAACTAGTTATGTCATGTGTGGATTTTGTTAAGAACTTGGCCCGCTTTCCATCTGACGCACACCTAAAAAAACATAACACTGGTTTGAACCTTGTGTTGACAAGTTTTGGGTCGGGAACGAGTTTTACCCACTTTTGTAATTGACGAGTTGGGTCGGGTGTGAATTTTGTTAGCACTCGGTATGCTTTCCACCTGACACTGCTCTTAACCTTAATGGGCCGTTTACTTGCCATTCCGTTTCTTATGGATGTGGCAACAGAAAACAAACTAAAATGAAAACGAAGATATCGTTTTCTGAGAAATAAAACCTGGAGAAAACTTGTTTAGCTGAGAATTTGGTGAGTTCTGAAAATTGATTCTGAAAATGAAAACCTGTTTAGTTACTTCATATTGTTTTCTGATAATTGATTGCCGCCATCTTTTGATGGAGTATCGTACAACATTAGTGATGATTATAATTTTTAATATGAATCACAGTGCTATCCCACAACTTATTTGTAAGCCCATCACGTCGTATATTCATTGCTTGAGTTTGATTTGAATTGAAAATTTTCACCTCTTTTTCTTGTCTCCTTGTCATCTCTTACTATTCAAGTAGGTAATAACACTAATGGTGAGAGATTAACATATCATCATCTAATAATGGTAAATGGGCACACAGAAAGGCATGTTGTACTGAGGGAAAAAAGAGACTATATTGCAGGCTGATTGATAACAATTTTCTTGTAAGCTTATACCCACAAATGGCTAGCTAATAGTAGTAGACTTGCTGTCATTACTCCTCCCAATTCGAGAGCAACAACGACAAAGGCAAGCTATCTCATTCAAGATGTAGTGATTATTGAAGGAATCAAGTTTGGTTAATGAAGTCTCTATTGCTTCAAGGTGGTGCTCAAGCTATTCGCTAATCACCTACTTAGCTGCAATCATCTACTTAGCTTCGACAATCACCCTAAACAATGAAGCAATAAGGAATAATTAAACCATTAAACATATGCTCGACCGAGCATTTAGAAGCAATCGATTGCAGAAAACTAGCAACCTGGAGCAAACGAGAAATCATTTGGAGAACTACAACAAACTAAAAAAATATATAGAAGCTGCAGAACACCAGCAACCCAGAAATAATTTGCAGAAAACCATTGGTTGCCGGCAGGAGTTTCAATTCGTCGCCACTGCTTCTCGTCGTCGGAAGGAGCTTCAATTCGTCACCGAAAGGAGAGGGGGCTTCAATTCGTCGCCGTTGCTTCTCGTCGTCGGAAGTAGCTTCAATTCGTCACCGGAAGGAGAGGGAGAGGATGGTGCCGTTGGTGGTATGGGGGGAGGACGAACTTCTCGTCGCATACGCGGGGCTGCTGGAGGGAGAGGACGGCACCGCTGGTGATATGGAGGAGTATCCAATTCGTCTAGGGTTAGAGGAGCTGAACAGGTGCAAAAAAGAAGCAGCAAGTGGGAATCGAAATGGTGACCTCATTAATGAACAGGAGCTCATTTACCGCTAGAAAACGGGGAATAACCCGTGTCACCATTTCCAGGAAACAACAATTTGTTGTTTTCGCCCAGCTTTCTCATTTGTAGTAAATGGTTTTTTCAACGAAAATGAAACCGCAAGTGAACACGTTTTTTGTTATTTATTTCTTTATTTTCATTTTTTTAACAGAAAATAGAAAACGAAATGGGAAATGAACAGGCCATAACTATCAATATATGATATCAAGTTACTAAATCCACATCTCACTGCTCAGCGCGGTTTTGGTGCTAGTATTTTAACATTATATAAACTATTTTTTTGGCCCGCGCTCCGTCGTGGTAAGAAACTAATGATTTAGTTGAAGTAAAATAATTCACAAAATTATTTAGATGAGATACATTGATACATACATAAGTTTCACATAGTGTCTTAATCATGATGAATAACATACGTAATTCGTTATGAAAAACTTAGATATTATTTTTGTTTAATTGATACACATAAAAAATGATTATTTGTTTGTAAGCTTTACGTAGTGTCTTAATCATTAAGAAAGACTCATATAATTGTTAGACTCATGTAACCGTTATAGAACGTTGTTACATAAACTTTTACAATGTGTGGTCTAATAATAAAATCAAGTTATAGTAAGTAACATTTATGAATTTGTAATCTATGTAACTGTTATGAAAAGCGTTCTTACATAAATCTTTCATAATGTATGGTATAATAATAAAATAAATTTAGAAGTAACATTATGATTAAATTGTTATGGAATTGTTATGACAAAGTTAACTAATCATGAGCTTATTATAAAATTTTATGGAGATAAAAAAACTAGTATAGAATATTGGTACATAAATATTTTATTGTGTGTAGTTTATGGTATAATAACAAAATTGTATTTTAGAAAGTAGTGTATGATTAAACTGTTATGTCAAAGTTAACTAATTATGAGCTTATAGTAAAATTGGATGTAGGAGATATTTTATAGTGTGGTCTAATAATAAAATCAAATTTTAGAAAAAACATATGATTAAACTGTTATATCAAATTTGTTACATAAATATTTTACAGTTTGTGGTCTATGGTCTAACAAAAAATTAAATTTTAGAAAGTAACTTATGCTTAAACTGTTATGTGAAAGTTAGCTAATCATGAGCTTATGGTAAAATTAGATGTAAGAGATATTTTACAGTGTGTTGTCTAATAATAAAATAAAATTTTAGAATGCAACGTATGATTAAACTGTTATGTCAAAGTTGTTACATAAATATTTTATAGTTTGTGGTATAATAACAAAATCAAATTTTAAAAAGTAACTTATGATTAAACTATTATGTCAAAGTTAACTAATCATGTATTTGTGATAAAATTGGATGTAAGAGAGAAAAAAACTGTTATAGAACATGGTTACATAAATATTTTATAGTGTGTGGTTTATGGTATAATAATAAATATTTTAAAGTTGACTAATCCACTTTTTGAGTTGTTCTACCCGCCTAGATTTGTGACCCCTCGAATATCAAAGGAGATCGTTTAGGGAAAAAGGGTTATGAAGTAGGTTGACATTAAATGGCTTAGCCCAAGGCAAAACTTAGGGGATACGTGAATAAGGGGAACATCATGCATCAGCGCATAGGTGATAAGTTCCTAAGTGAACAGTAATCCGGGTCAATTAAAAAAGTGGATTATGCTATTTTATCGTGATGAACAGTGAAAACCGTGAAAGTAAACTTGTTTTTATTAATAATACTAGTTTTTGGCCAACGCTTCGCAGCGGTAAGAAACTAATTATAATTATCTGATGATTTAATTGAACTATAAAAAAATCACACAAAAACTCACTATGTTTTGGGTAAGATATGTTCAATTACATAGTGTCTTTGTCATTAAGAAAGAATTACGTCATCGTTTTCTTAATTGATATGTAAGCAATAACTTTCGCTCCATAAACTTAAGGAAATGTTCCAATCATTACCGAAGACTTATGCTATAAATTTGTTAATGGACATATAAGCAATCATTACCCTAGACTTATGTAATGTATTTATGAAAATCTTCTATAGTATGTGGTATGTAATACAATCAAGTAACAAAAAAGTATCACATTTAATTAAATTTTTATGTAAAAGTTAATTGAACTTACAGAACCTTTAAATGCAGATGGATTACATGGTGAATTGTTGGTTTATAATGAAGGAATTTTTTTCACGGAAATATCATATTTTATCAATATGTGGTCTGATAATAATCAAGTTAAAAAAAATATCACACTTTATCTAAATTTGATGTGAAAGACCGAACTTACAAAACTTTTATGTGATGCAAATAGCAAAGGGTTGATTGATAAATTGGATTTTTTTATATTTTTCGTATCACTCGTTAAAACCTTTGTTTTTAACTTAAATTTTGAAAATTTTGCTTTAACGGAACTGATTCATTGTGATCTATTAATTTTAGGTGAAATAATTTATGACCAAATATACCACCTTGGTATATGGTGGTAACTTGTGGTAGTCAATTTTAAACATTGATAAATAGTGGTTAGTATATTCGTACTATCATGCATACACCATTCTACATTATGGTATAAGCTTATATATACTACCAAAAATTACCACCAATATATGGATTATTAAAATATCCCTCAATTTGTTTTGTTCCAAAATATATCAAATTGTATATGATTTTGAAAATCATGATTGAGCTAATATTTATGTGCAGAAAACTTTAAATTCAGACTTAAAATAAAAAAGGATATATCCTCGTGAGTAATTAATCTTGTTACTGACATGATCCGAAAAGCCTTGAAAACATTCACACTTCCTAAATTCTTAGATTATCCAAAAAGCTTCCTAAATTCTTTATTGGGTAGTGGAAAGCGGAATTATATGGGAGTCCCAACGTACATCAATGCACCCAAGCACAGAAGAGTAAAGCCCTCAATGAACAGAAAATACAGGGTTAAGGGGTTGAAGTTTTCGTAAGGAATAGTTGGGTAAAGTAAAGTATACTTGTGCTATTAATTATTTAATTTAATAATTAATTTAATAATTAATAATTCTTATAATTGGAGGTGTGAATTGTAAAATACATTATATATTTATATCTTGCAAGTTGTAAACTTATATATATCCTGATATAATCTTGCTGCATGGTGCGTAAAGCAAACCAATCGCAATTTCTTTTTGTTGTGGGACAAGCTATATAAAGTAAATCGCAAAAGAAAGGCCTAAAACTCTGGAAGACGGAGAAAGCTGAAAAGACACTTCCAAATTAAACAGGACCCAAAATTAAGAAAGTAATAGAAACTAATCAACCATCATTCGCCAAAAAAAGAAAAGGCTTCATCCATTCCATGCATGCACGTTCGTCGTAGGTAGCTAGGTAGGAATACCCATTTCATTTTCATTATACACCATTTTCTTGGCCTTCCTCTGCCTCTTAATTCTCCTCCTTCACACAGCCATGGATCCCAAATCACCAATCTTCCTCCTCGTCTCCATCATCCTCCTCTCTTCCCTTCTTCACCACACCAAATCCACCGCGGCTGCACAAAACGACGCCGCACCACCCACGATCGCAGCTTCAACATCATCGTCACAACATAAACAAAAAGAAGCGAGCCAGCTGGTGATCGATCCAGCCCTCCGCGGCGTGTGCTCCGTGACCGACAACCCGTCCAAATGCGTGGAGCTCATCGCCCCCTACGTGATCGGCGCCACGGACCCGGTCTCCATCCTCAACATGGAGATCGCGGCCCTGTACAAGATGGTCGAGGACGCCAAATCCACCGCCACCCGAGTCGCCAGGAGCCCCTCCACGCCGCCGTCCGTCGTCAAGGTGTTGGACGAGTGCGTGGCGTACTATGACTCGGCCACCGATGACCTCGCCAAGGCGCTGTTCGCGTGCTCCGTCAAGGACACCCAGACGGTGAACCAGAGGATGGCTTCCGCAGTGACCAGCTTCCAAAAATGCGACGCTGCGTTTGAGGGGAAGCAGGGGGCTGCCGCCAATAAGCTGGAGGGGGAGGCGGCCACGATGCATGAGATGGACGAGGTTATGGTTCAGATGGCTGGCTTCGCCATGCAGATTTCGCAGAAGCTGGTTTCTAAAGCTACTGCCGCTGGTAACACCAAGATAGTTAATTAATTAATACGAATTAGGGATGTACGTACCTAGTCTAATAATTTTACATATAAATTTTATCGTCTGTGTTTTTTTTCTTGCTTCGTCGCTGAATTAATTGAATACATTCCACAAGAGATTTTCATTACGATCGATTTTCCCCAATATGGATTTGAACAATTTTTGTATCAAGTTGACACTCGTGATGAATACGTTACACCAGCAAGTTATAACTGACTTCTACTCACTGTTGGAACTTGGAAGCTTATTATCCCAACATAATAAACCAATCAATCAGATTAATTAATTAATTAGGTGGAACGGTGGAGCAAAAATTGGATTAGGGATGGGTTCTGGCGCCGGCCGACCTTAGATTTGATGGTGGTGAATGAGAATGAGGAAAAATATGAGTTCAGGAATTTGGATCTCATGGAGAGAAAACCTAGTCCTTCTTCTCTTCTTAAAGACTAGAGAGAGGATGGGATCATCGCACCCCGCCCCGACTAGTAGAGCCTGCTTTTGATACTATGGTAGTGGTTGTTGTGAGTTGTGACCTTATGGTAGTGGTGCTATATATGTAATTACTCGCACGCGATGGGATGTTATGTCCCATAATCAACTTGATATGACCATCTTACAAGAGTTCATAAAAAATTAAGTCAATGTTTGAAACATCAAATGAGTACTTTTGTGGCACGATAGTGGTGTAGTTGTGCCGATCCTTGGGGCTGATTTTCAATCTTAGCCAAAGAAACGCTTCATTTGGCTTTCCTGTAGTTAACTCAACCATGTCTACTTCCACCACATTGGCCAACATGGTTGACAAGTTAGTTGCTTGTAAGAATGCATTGCCCTTTGTTCCATTCCTCATTCTCCTATTTTTGGAGAAGAGACTCATACCTCATTGCACATTATATGAGTTAGAACAAGAAGTACTCAGCCAATTCCTCCAGTTAGCGCATACGTGCCAAGTCAGCCATTGAGACTGGTCTTGACTCTAACAACACATCCCAATAGACGGTAATCATAACTGACGACCGGGTGTGGTATAAGGTAAGCAAGCAATAAAAATATTGAACCATGGGTCTCCTAGGTGTACCTTACTTCGGCTTAAGGTTTCGTTATCTAGCCAACGTAGAATAGCGATTAAGAAACTATCTACACTAAACTAACCACTATCCTAGCTAATTACAAGTGGCAGAGCTCCCTTAGCTCGAATCCCCTTAGTTCTATGATTTGGATCGATTTTGAGTACTATACTAGCTCGATCGACTCGCTACCCTACCGTTAGGAGATAGACTCACTCGAGATTGACCCGAAATGGCGAATCAACTCACTCGGGGATTACCTGAACAACATACGATAGGATTTACCCGAAAATGTCAATAATGAGCTCTAAGGGGATTATCTTCCTCCTAGGTAAAAATTTCAATTGACTTGAAGTGGAATCCAAAATCATGTAATCCATGACAACATCCATCATATAGATAAATTCATTAATAAAAAATAGAATATGTAACATACATCAACAACAAACCAAAACCTAGACCTAGAGTTTGTCAACCTAAAATAAAGAGGTCTTGTTCATAGAGAGAGCAGAGATATTACAAAATCGCTCAAGATATTCATCTTCTAGGCTTGATTCATTGATTCCAAGATCAACCCAAGACTCCAATTAATCTCCAAGATCACTCAATATCATTCTCTCTCTCTCTCTCTCTCTCTCTCTCTCTCTCTCTCTCTCTCTCTCTCTCCCAAGTGCCGACTTCACAGTCATTGTTCACGGGGGGTGATAATAGCAAGCAGACGGTGATCTCAGCCAAAATGCACCATTTTGGGCTATTTTCACGGTCACGGGGTGATTTTCACGGTATGGTGACCGTGAGATTTGAATGGCCCGCGAGATGCGCAAAGGCTGCTAGAAATTGCACACTTCACCGTTTGGGGGTGATTTTCACCCCCTCAAGTGTGGCAATTTCCTCATGCCCGTGAATTCTTGCACTTCAATCCCTGGGAGAGACTTTCACTCCCTCGGGGTGTGACGACATTTGCCTCCCTGCCTGTGAACATTGCACAGCCTCCACTTTTTGGTTTATTTTGACCTCCGAATGACCTGAAACTCGTACCCGACCTTCCCACACGTACTAATACCTGAAATGTGACAAAAGAAGCACAACCCAGCATAAAATAGGACGAGGAACGATGATAATCAAGTAAAAAAATCAATATGTGAGGGGGTAAAACATGTGGAATGATGCTCGAATCAAAATCCCCCACACTTTAACGTAAGCTTGTCCCCAAGCAAACTAAGTGAAATACAAGGTAAGCTTACAACCTCTTTCTTGAAAACTTTGGGGAATTTCATAGGGCGCAAAATAAATGGATCTCAATGGCGATTAGACATCGACATATATAAGGACAACAATAACTAGAATCTTGACAACTACCACAAACGACATTTGAATGCAATAAAACCGTGTAATGGAATAGTCCTCACGTTGTTCACAAACTAATACATAACTTGTAATGATGACTCGCCAATCATAGTCATTCATGCATCGAGATCAGGTCATCTAAACAAATGAATCAGCAAATTAGGTCCTCACCGCGATACATGATAGGAACAAAGCATGAGGAATGCTAGAGTTCACAAGGATGGGCGTCATCACTAGCTTGTCCGGAGGTCTTAGATAAGGGTTCGAATGACTGGCTAGGGTCTAGGACATGGGGGAAAGGCTTTTATGGGTTGTGGCAAACATAGCATGAGGTTCCACACTTCAACCTAAAACCAACACAAGGTTTTATGGTTTCGACTAGAACCTTCTTCTACAAGCAATGGCAACTAGCTTCGGTCAAAAACCACACTTCCCTTAATTCCAAACCAAAACCAATCACCAACTCAATCACAAAAAACTTTCTTTGCTACACTTGCTATCACATTTTCAAGCACAAGAATGAATGAGGTAAACAATCATGTATGTGTTCCTAAACTTGACTACTAAGAAACACATTTTTAGATCATTCATGACTTTTTGTGGTGGCTCTCCTTTCTTCCTAGTCCTCTTTAGTTCTTTCTTTTTTATTTCTTTTCATTACCACTTGTTTAGGGCTAGTAGAGAACTACAAACACACGCCACATTCATGAACTTAATGAACAATGCTCACTTTTAAGAACTTCCTCCAACATTCACTTTTTCATCTTTAGCGAACCATGCACAAATCACTCATGTGGAACCTCAACTAAGCTCAAATGATATGATGGGAGCTTCCAAACACAAGGGTGACTCAACAATGGTGTAGACTAGAAGAAAGTAAGGGTTTCTCCATCTATCTCAATCAAGCTCAAGTAGCGAGAGCTACCTAACACGAGAGTGAACCTTAGACACACGGCTCAACAAGGTTGACTAGAGGATAATTCAATCAGGACAAGTCGAATTATGGGTTGTGGACTAAACCTATGTCACCATCTTCCTTGCTAGTGAGCACGTGAATGCTACACATCATGGTAAGAGGGATCTATCACACAAGAACAAAACGGGCTATATAAATCTCACATGCTACCAGACGCTCAATCATTCATTCCAACTTCCAAATTTTGATGCATAAGCGATTGCAATCAATCAAAAACATCCAATGGTTCGCAAAACATGAGAAATGAACATTTACACAACCCTAATGCATATCTCAGTCATCATCCGCAGTGAATCTGTCAATTGAAACGAATTGGGAAATTACAATGTGAACTAACTGCGGACTAGGGGGCTCATATCTAGATGACCTTTTGCATATTGAAACCATAACATTAACTGATTTCTGGTTTGTTTTTGTTTTTTTATAATCTTCACGGAGTAGACAGTAAATCTAGGAGCCAGGTTGACAAGTAAATCTGAGCCCACTATACTGCATTTCCATACCACGATTACAGTTGGTCGTAGTTGGGTGTTGTATTGTAGCGAGTCAGTCATACTCATGAAAAATAGCTATTCCTATATCCTCTAAGGTCCAATTTTTTCGTTCTACAACTCCATTTTGTATAGGAGTGTGGGGCGCAGAGAAATCATGTTCAATTCCTAGTTCATTGCAAAAAAGCTCAAATGGAGAACCATCAAATTCACCGCCATGATAGCTGCGAATTTTAATTTCCTTCATTTGTTTTTCATTTTGAACTTTTCTAACAAAATATATGAAAACATCTATACTCTCATCTTTGTTTCTACGAAAGAAAACCATGGTGTAACGAGAGTAGTATCTTTGTAAGATTGCAGTACCCAGCAAGAACAGAAAATTTATAACAGTAGAGACGGTAAGAGTAAAGACAGATGATATTTGTTAACGAAGTTTGGCTAATCCTACGTGTCCGCCCAAGTGTGACTATCCCCTTGAGACCTAGTATCATGGATTTTTGTATTACGATTTCTAACCACAAGTTGATTCATTGGGTGAGAATCAAACCCTTAACAAGAAATTTATAGAAGTTTAAACTCCTCGTGTACTCACAGGCATACACACTGCTAAAGAGAAAATATCTCGGAGCTCTCACACACAAACTATGCACTCCTATATGGACTAGTATGCAACCACAGTGACACTTTATATTTGCTTCTTTTCACTTAAGAACCTTGACCCTACTTCTTCTTCCTTCTGTCTCTTATATAGAAGATTGTTTTTCGAAAGCCTGTTGCTCAAATAGTTCAAATTGCATGAAGACATTTAATGCCTTCAGCTACTCCATCAACTACTCACCAACAGCTCAATTCCATTATCTCTACATAAGTACCATAACCATTTATGTCTTTAGGTCAAAAGAATAATAATATAAATGTTGTTTTCACAAAATCAAAAACTCCATCTCTTGGTGCTCTCCACAAGTTGTCTTTGCTTTAAAGAGCATCTTGAGATTGTAAATTCTGATCTGCACATTTAAAATAAAATATATTCTACTGCAGAAATATATTTAATATAATATATATCAAAGAAAATAAGATGTATGAAAGACAAGTTTCAAACATGTCGGTGACTGGATT